ACTACCCGCTTTTGGCTCTATTTTCAGGGCTCTGTAAAAATTATAAATAATCGAGATACAGTTTCGGGAGTCGGGACTTTTTTTACGCAAATTCATTGATCTTTTCAAATCTTTTTTCAAATTTCCAAAATTTTGAAAATTTTCCGAGATATTAAGAAAAAACTAAAGCCCCATTTTTTTTTTCACCTAATTGTTTATAACTTTTGTAATTTTTATCGGTGCGTTTTCGGACCTTTCCTTAAACTTTCTAGGCAAAAATACGACTCTAATGACACCTTGGTCGTAATTTTTGGACAGGGCTGAAAAATGTACATGTGAACAAAAAAAGTACATGTGAACTAGACTATATCGGCTATTGTTTTATTTGAATTTAAAGTACGAGGCGGTTAATGAAATACCTTATATTTTTGTTTCAGCTTGGCCTACTCACGGCAGACAGAGGCGTCTGGTTGGCACCTCCCCGTGTTCCCGCCATGCTTTTAGGCATTATATTGTTTGCCCTCGTCGCTGGAGGCGCGAGGGCCGACGACGACGCCGCCACCACTTCTGGACCAGTCTTTTTGCGCGAACCCCCGAACCGCGTCGACTTCTCCAACACCACCGGTGCCATCGTGGAGTGTAGCGCCCGAGGAAACCCGCCCCCCGACATCATATGGGTGCGGTCGGACGGTACCGCCGTAGGAGATGTTCCCGGCCTCCGACAAGTTTTGGCAAATGGAAATTTGGTGTTCCCCCCGTTCAGAGCCGAAGACTATCGACAGGAAGTGCACGCTCAGATTTATGCTTGCTTGGCTAAAAACACAGAGGGGTCCATACATTCGAGAGATGTCAACGTTAGAGCCGGTAAGGAATTTCTGATCTGATTTATTATTATACTTGATAGGCCTTCGGACTTTTTGGAGGATTTCAGTTCTATGGAATATAGCAGCAATAGCAGGATTATAGCAGCAATAGCAGGATTATAGCGTCATTTTGAACGCACCATCGTTTGTCTGAAATATTTTGAACTTTTTTCAGCAAATTCTACGTCTAGTCTGGAAATGTTAGTCGCAAGTATCTCGGAATGAGAGAATGTCAGTCATATTGTTGTATAAATCTTAATTTTGGCACCTTGAAAATTGTCTCAGAACCTACTTATATATATCTCGTTTCCTATGGGTTTTATGCTATTTGTATTTATAACAAATATTGCAGAGAAAAAAATTCTCTACAACTTTTGTACGAACCTGTCATGCTTGCGCTAGCGACGTATAACCTCGATACGATCTCCATCTCTCTTTGCATCGATTACGTCACACGTGTCTCTCTCACTCTCACAAACACAACTTTATATGAAACCTCAATTCTTCCCCAGAGCTAATCTAAAAAATTCTAATTTTAAAAAATTTGCTTTTTTATCAACTATTAATCAACAGCATTAGGTGCCATCCCCCCTTCTGATGATACTTACTTGGTTAACAAAGATACGAACTTAGTGATCTTCTGACATGTTGGAAAGCACGTTAAAACGTAAGACCCTCCTGGTCATCTCAATACCATACAATTTTTATCAAGTCGTATTCCTAACCGTCCATGCCTAATTTTGAAACCGGCAACGCTCCATCGCCCCATAAACAACGATTTATTTTACAACCGACAACACCGAATCTGTCATGCTTGTGCTAGCGACGTATAACCTCGATTCGATCTTCATGTCTCTTTGCATCATCGATTACGTCACACGTGTCTCTCTCACTCTCATAAACACAACTTTATATGAAACATCAATTCTTCCCCAGATCTGATCTAAAAAATTCTAATTCTAAAAAATTTGCTTTTTTATCAACTATTAATCAGCAACATTAGGTGCCATCCCTCCTTCTCCTGATGATGCTTACTTGGTTAACAAAGATACGACTTAGTGACTTTCTGACATGTTTATATGACACTTTATATGAAACATCAATTCTTCCCCAGATCTAAGGATATTTTCCTAACTTCTACAAGGAAATGACGTCCCTAAAATTCTATGGAAATTCAGAAATGGGGTTGAGTATAGAAAATAAGTAAATTTCGGTCCCGACAAAACAACCGCTATAAATATCAACAATTCGCAATTACTTTCCGCTCGGATGTCATGAAAATTGCAAAAAGTTGACTCCATAAGAAATTACATGGAATTTTGGGCTCGTGGTATTTTTGTTAATCTACTTACCCTACATTTTATTCTATGAAAGAGAGGACATTTCAGATCAAGATCTTCAGATGATGTGGTGCTGCAGGTTTTTCCGGGGTTTCCTGCAGCTGAAAAAGTAAATGCGCCACTGGAATCAATAAAGTCGCCCCAAAGCGCCAGTTGGTTATTGTTGTTTCATAATTTTATGATTTGTATTACTTTTTTTTATGTTTCTATAATCCAGTATGTATTAATTTAGTAACACTGACATACCCTACAATATTTATAATAAATACAAATAGCATGAAACCCATAGGAAACGAGATATTTGCAATAAATGTGTAAACATTTTTTTTTGACCTTTGCCTTTGGAATATCTGTAGTCGCGGACACCCTGAGACAAGTTCTGACAGGTTCTGAGACAAATTTCAGGGTGTCAAAATAGGGGTTTATACTAACTATCTGTCATTCCGAGGTGAAACCCCTAATATTCTTAGTGTAGTCGTGAAATTCTCATATTGAAGACGAAGAAATTAGAAAAATCCATTTTGTTATTGAACATTCAATTCAATAATATGTATACCGAGTGCACCTATACAGGGAATAGTGTTACCTTTCGAACCACATTCTAATATTTTCTACACTTTCAGCTTTACAACTTGTTCCATAACTGAGATACTATTATATTACTAATCAAATTATATGGTGACTACCAAAATACTGAAATTGGAATTCATTTCCAAAATTTTTACAACCAGAATTGGGAAGTTACGGAATTCAAGAACTTTTCTTCAGTATTGATCTTTCCTTCAATACTGAAGGAGACGAAAATCAGTTTTTGTACACGTGTAAAAAGGGCAAACTTTTTAGTTTAGCCCGAAAAGTAACTGCACATTTTTCACAAAGAAAATGTTTCATTTATCAGTAACTTGTTGTATTTTATGAGTTTGACTTTCAAAACAAGAGCTACGAAATTATACAATACTTATCTTGACGTTTCGGAGGTTGAAATCTTCAGACATTGACAAAATTTAAGTCTAGACGCAGAACATTTTTCTTTGTGACAAATACTTTTAATTTCATCAGGGTAAAATAAAAAGTTTGCCTTTTCTACACGTGTACAACTTTCATAATTTTCAGGTTGTGGGAGGTAAAAATATTTTTCTTCAATATTTTTACTTTAGGTAGTAAAGAAACTCTTGAATGAAAATAGAAATAATATTATAGAGTATTTGTTAATTTGATTATTCATGTATTGAACACTGCGAGCCAAACTTTAAAGTTTGTGTCAATGATTGAGTGCTTTACAATGAAGATAAACCCACCTCAAGTGAGGTGGATTTATCTACAGTTGGGACGACGAAAGATTACACATGTGTGTCATCAATAAAATTGGCACTTTTATAAAGCACTCTCTTCTTCTACAAGTAAAAAAGCAGAAAAAAACTGTTAACGTTTGCCTTAGATCGCAGCGAGCTCTTGTTTGGATACTTGCATTTAATATACGAAGAGAGACAGCTATACAAACGTGAGTCGTCGGAAAAATCATAGACTTTAGACAAATTGAGGACGTATTACTATCGTTTGACAGTTTACATGTTGTAAACTGTCTAATTTGAAATTTGTACACGTGTCTTTTGAATATTGGGATTAACTAAAAATCATATGGATTTGATACTGGTACCGTTATCTGGGTGTTGGCCTACGAAATTTTCAGCCCATCTAGTAAGATGGAACTTTGTGGCGTTTTCTAATAAAGAGTCAGTCTAGCATTTCAATTGCATTGAACTTTACAAGATTGGTGGATCGTCTTTCTACAATCCTCGCCAGGTCCTTATTGATGATAACGCCTAACATACTTCTTACTGAGATAGTCCTTTCACAAATTTTTCGTAAAATTCATGGAACATCCTCTTGACTTAGTCAATTCGAAGGCCCTATTTTGCAGGGTAGGAGTAAAAAAACTGGAATATGAAGAACACATAAATTGAATCGCTTTTATGCTCTTCTGGAACCTCCTACCTATATAGTGGCCGTGAACTTGCCAAATAAAAAGGTGGTTCCGGTGATTACTGGAATGGAAACGCCCTTCTCACGTATTGGAATTTCAACTTCGATCAAATAATATGGTAAAATCGAACCGGTTCATTAAGAAAATCTATTTTATAGCAACATGAAATTGTATGCAATCTACCTTTACAATTAAACAATTAGATTGGACATTCTCCTTGTTTATATGTCGAATACGCTTCCACCTTCTTTTGTGGCTGCTTTGCTGGAAGTAGCGGGACTTCGAACAATGAAAGTGCTCGTTCTCTGTGACGCCGAGCTCAGGCATTGCATCGAGCAGTTGAATTATTATTAGAACACTATTTGTAAAAAACAGTTTCGCAATCGTTTTTCGTCTTGAGAAACGGGGTGTGTTGGAGGCCTTGTAATATGAGAAAAATATTTCTAACAGTCGGAAAGCTCTTTGATTGTGTTCATTTATATGATGAGGATTATACCGTTCTATTCATGGAATGGACTCGTTAGCAAATCATTTTCAAAATTAGCAAGCATAACAAACATTATCATTAAATTGATAAAGTGGGACTGTTTTCATTCCACAGCAGTTAGCTATGTCGGAATGGTTTGCAAACGGTTCTCAATTTCAAAACTTGTCTCAGTATCTTCCTTCTACTTAATAATATTCAACGCCGGAAAGGCATGTCGATTTCATTTTCAAATTTCAGCAGCCTTCGTGATACATCCTTCGACAAGAGTTACCCTTCAATTTTACAGTAGCTTGTAGCACACCATGTTGAGCCCTTTGAATTCTCTTTTTAGTTATGCCAGATTCAATTTTTTGACCACAACTTATCAACTCTGAGATTTATTGTTTCAGAAATACTTATTCGTTTGATTTTGTTAATGAAGATACTTATGTCTAAATAACATAAGTTTTGATTCCTGCAAAGAAACAAAGACTAGTTTGAAGGTTTTCATTTTCAAATTGTTAGTTCTTCTATTTCAACAACTTTGTTTTTCGAGGAAATATTTACAAACTGAAGGAGAGGATCTTTGTGTGTATCAATTCATTGAATCTTTCAGAATATTTTCCATTATCATTAATTTTCGAATTAGGAACAGCAATATCAGCAGAATGTGTTATAAACCGGATTCAAAATGATCCCCTGCAACCTCATGAGTTTATCTCGTTTAATCTCGTGCGTTCTGAGTGGGTTATGTCAGTAACATGTCTGGATCAGTGGAAATTGAATCCGTTGGTCTCTGATGGAACCATTCAATTACTTTTTCTCTTGATAACCCAGAAATCTTTTGTCAGATGGACAGAATTTAGAAGTGGATGGTAATCCTTAATTGCCTGTTGCATCAGTTCAAGTCAGATGGAGAGAATTTAGAGGTGGATGGAAATCCTGCAAGATATTCATCAAAAGCTGAATTTCCTGCTTAATCAGTTCGAGTCGGATAGAGAGAATTTAGAGGTGGACGATGATCCTGGAAGATATTCATCTTAAACTGAATTGCCTGCTGCACCAGCTCGAGTCAAATGGAGAGAATTCTAAATTGGATGATAATCCTGCAAGATATTTATCTGAAACGGAATTGTTTGCTACATCAGTTTCGAGTCAGATGGAGATAATTTAGAAGTGGAAGGTAATCCTGCAAGGTATCATCTAAAACT